CTCTGGTGTGTATATATACACGTTTTACCAGTTGATCTATAAGTGTACAGTCCAAACTTGAGCTTTTGCCGCTTGTACAACCTTATTTGCCCAACTTATTGACGAGTTCAGCTTTCGCAGTTGCATTGCATTTATTTATTTATTTTGCATCCCATGCCATCTTACTGCAGTTGAAGTAAAAGTACTGTATTAGTTTCAGCTTGAAAAGAATGGGGCATTATGTATATAATAGTGAATTTGTTTATAATAGTGTCCAGCTACAATGAAATGTTTCATTTACTGTGAAATAAACAATATAATTAACAATAACGATAACTATACAACCCTCTACATTGCGAGTAAATCACTCGCATATGCGACTAAATCTTCTCTCTGGGTGACTAAACGATGTCTAATATTAGCCAATGGCTAATAAATTCTCAGATGTGAGTTGGAGGCTAAGTATAAGTTTAGCACAGATATATTTTCACTCGCCGAACTCTCTGACTGAGCGCTTCAGAGTTTCACTCTTCACCAAGCGATCTGTGCTATTTTTCAGTTCATATCAATGGATGCACAGCGCACCTGTATTTGACGTACCGTAAACTCTAGTGTGAAGGTGCACGACTCGGCGTCACTTTCTCACACACACGCAGAGAGAGAGAGAGAATTGACGCGCTACATGTAAACAATGTCCTTTGTTGTATTTTCCTGTCAAAATAACGGCGTTCCTTTGGAATTCTTCAGCTTTTAAGAACTGCCGGGTTCTCCGGTAGTGGGCGGAACTAATGTGCAAACGGCAATCTCATTGGCTGGCGCTCACCTATTATCGTCCCTGTTTTGATTTCAGCAAATCAGTTCGAGCGAACGCACACAACCTGATTAATATTCATGAATCCAGCAGCTCATTTATCCTTAGTGCGATTGTTCTTATTAGTATAATTCGTATCATTATCATCTTATCAGTATTTTTGTTAGTTTTTTTTCCCAGATTTTTTTTTTCAGAAACACTGAATGACCAAAATAGCACCACCAGCAGTCCAGTTAAAATGTTCAGTTAAAACGACTAATATGCATTCATACATGGTTAAGTTTGAATTCTAATTACTAAAGTTCTATCATTAAATAATACTTGATTATCATATTATAATGCTAGACTGACTGATGTTAAGAGTGTTCTTTCAGATATTTTAAATAACTGAGCCATTTTACAAATATATATGTGTGTGTGTGTGTGTGTGTATCAGTATGGCGAGTAAACTAAAAAATGTACTAGCCAATGGCGATTCAATTGCCAAGGTGTCCGTAAAGGGTTGTTATATTATTGTCCACACCAATGCCTGATACGTTTCTGTTTATTATACTGTATGCATGCTGCAGTTTTGTCATCTGCCACTTTAAATGTTCAGCCTCTTTAAAAGTGGATGGATTCTGATTGGCTGTCAACTAGTCGACCTACATTTATTATTATAATTTTTTTTTTCTGATGCTGATATTTCAGAGTGGCTGATGTAAAGCCGATGTATGTGATATCACATGCTGAAATACAATTCCTATTTATTTTACATAATATTTATGAAATCAAAGTAAGAGTTGATAAAAAATCAAAGTAAAAGTCCTGCTTCCAACACATCGGTCGAACATAAAAACATATTGATGCTGATAATAAAGAATTGCAGAAAATGCAAAACGATGAGTACTCTCAATGTTTTTATCATTCATCAGCTAGAAAAAAAATGCTCTAAAAGTGATGGCAACTATACTCCGTTTCGTTATGGTTATAGTTGTGTTGTGCACTTCCCTATTGTCATAGAATTAAAAGTAGAGATGCACCGATCGATCGGCCAGGGATCGTAATCGGCCAATTTTCCTCATGATCGGCCCGGATCGGTGATCGGCCAGTCAGTCTCACTTCTCTCTGATTTCGAGCCGATCCGTTTTGTTACCAGCGGCACAGGCAATAACGTCAGCCGCGCATTCTCGCTCTCTTCTCTCTGACGACCCCTTCTCTCTCACACACGTCTCATTCGCTCCGGTTAAATAGTGCTTGTGTTGCGCATTATTTTAGTCATTCCCGCAGGTTTCGCGCTTATACCAAACGCGCGCGCACCACCACTGATCTATATTAGTGGAGCGCACAATCCGCGCTCAGTCTCAAACAGCTTGTGAGCCACAAATACCAAAATGAGTGGCTAACTGCGCTAAAACGTTCAAATACATAAAAAATGATGTCAAAATGCCCGTTCTTGCGAGTATCCAGTTAAACACAGTCAGTTTTGGAACGTTAAATAGTTGAGAAAGAGAATGTTGTGTAACAGTATGTTGGGTCCGTGGATAAACTCTTAACGGGACCGCAGTCCAATATTTATGCTGCTGTCTGCCATGTTAATCAAAGAACAAAAGACAAAGAAAATCATTTTCTGCTCTTGACTGAATAAGTTTTATAACTTTAATGGTAAGCATTATTCAATTTTTACAATAAAGACTACACTGGATGTGTTATTTTACATTTGATTACTTTAATTTCTGTAGTATTTCTTAACTGAATAAAAACTTAACCTGAAAAACTTAGTTTCATAGCTCTCTTTATTCTATTGCATTTGTTTGTGCTGTTGTTTGCAATTTTTTTTATTTGTTCTTATTTTATTACTGACTTTTTACTTGTGATTTTTTTATTAAAATAAAACATTGCATTGAAAAAAAGTAGATTTTTGTTTGTATATGCTGTCAATTATAGTTCTTAGAAAGAAAATCGGAATCAGCAAAAATCGGTATCGGCAGATCACACTAACAAAAAATCGGGAATCGGCCAAGAAAATTGCAATCGGTGCATTTCTAATTAAAACAATTATTAAAACTTTATCATAATAGTTATTGTCCTTGGTGTGAACAGGCCTTTAGTTTTTAAAGTCAGCATGAAATAAAAATTCACCCTAACTATTTTCTAAATATATGTTATTGGTCTTATTGGGAACAATTTATTTGTGCAGGTTTTTTCATTTTTCATTTTTTAATCAAAATATGCCGTACTTCTAATATGCCAGACTTCTACAATCATTTCGTCCACTTAAATCCTGCTTCTTTCTTACAATCGACTGCAAGCTTTCGTTCAGATCTGCCTCCATCCAATCAACAAGTCTCGCCGTACATTTTTTCTTTTTTGATTGTTACACTCAGACATGCATCACAATACTAAATAAGTCTCTACTTTCATCACAAAATTTCTTCATTGGTCCACTGTCAAATAAACAACATGTGAGTTTAGACTGACATGAGGGTGAATAAGTGACTGTCGGTGTTTAACAGAGCAGAGGACACAAGTGAGGAAATCCTGGGCACGATGCAGATTTGCTGGGAGAGTGAATCCTGGCTGCTCCGACAGAGAGATAATGTGTGTGTGTGTGTGTGTGTGTGCGCGAATGAGTAAGCACAGAGAGTAGCGTGAGAAGTGTGTTGGTGTGCATGAATGAGTAAGCAGAGCGGAGGGAGGGAGGGAGGGGTGCAGGAGGGGCAGCCGGTGCATGTGCCATTCAGCTGGCCTCTTTTATCTGGTCTGCTGGAGCGATGTCAATAGAGGAGAGCGGACGGCCGGCACGCTGCTGGAGATCAGCGCAGACACACACTCGGGGAGAGGGGGGGGTTCTGTTTATATTGAGCGGCTCCACTTGATTTATTAAACAACAAATATCATTTAGATCAAAATTATTGTTTTGTTTGATTGACATGTATGAGAGTGACATTTAATTGGCCGTTTACTGTAAAGCCGCGGTCACACTAGAGCATACAGAATTTCTTCGAACACTGCAGTGGTCGTGATGTGACGTCACACTCTGCAGCGTTTTTTTAAAAACTCCAATTCAACACATAACAAATAGTAATAAATCCAAAATGTAAAAACATACAGTCTACTACACTTTCCTGCAACTCTGCAGTTTTAAATGTATGTTCTTTTAAATCAGATACGCGCTCATGATGTGATCATGTGACGCGTAGTTCTTCAGTTGGTCACACGTTTTCACGTGGTACGAAGTTGCAGATCAGAGTTCACCAAACTTAAACTTTGGAAAGCAGCGAAATGCGAAACTTCTTCACACTAGCATTTCCACTCTCCCGCATTCGTACACGTATGAATAAAATTCAAAGGAATGAAAAGTGTAGTGTGACCGACCCCTAAGCCAGGATGATTTTCATAATGCAAATGCTCATGTTATATGAATATAACAGTAAAATTATGTAAATTTTTTTGTTGTTGTTAGAAATGTGTTTTATGATGATTTTTAGTAGCATCACTGAATAAAATTAATTGTTGCAGGGTTATTATAGTTAACTAAAAACAAAAACATTTTTGTCAGTTGAAATAAATGTTAATATAAATGAAGTTATATTTTATACTGTTTTATTTTAGCTAGTTAAGGCAGCATTTCTTATTTTTGATTTAGTTTAGCTTGATGTACTAAACTAAAACTGAAATAAAAATAGGAAAAACTACATGGAAACAGACAAAAAAACGAATAAAACGGACAGAATTTCTAAAAATTTTTTTATTGAAAATAAAAAAAAAATTCAAAATATTAATAAAATCTTTAATAATATCTCAATGATTTATGTTTTCGTTATCAATTAGGAGATTATATTCTAAATGTAAAAAAGGAGAAATTAACACTTAACACTTGACTGATACGTTAAAATAATATATATATATATATATATATATTTTATAGCAGCTTTCTGTTGCTCAACGTGGTGAATTCACATGACCAACTTAAAAAATTTACATGGGGAAATCTTTCGCCCTCACGCAAAATTCACAATTATATGGATTCCTATTCAGATGTCTGGATTTCACCCTTGAAAATTCACTGAACAATTCTAATTTATCCTATGATACAATAACAATGATCATAAAAAATCTTGTTGGCTGTTGTGTTGTTTACCAGGTGTCATTTTAGATGTGAGATTCTGTGTCTGAATCTTCTGATGACTCGTCTGACATTATATTTCCCGTTTTCTTGGGTTTGTAGATGGGCATGGCAGGTGGCAACAGTCCATTCGGTCAGTACCAGGGTGGAGGGCAACAAATGGGCACGGCTGGTGTGAACGCTCAGAATAAAGGCACCCTTCCCAACAGCCTGCCCCAGTTTCCAACTGACCTAAAGGGAGCGATGGTCACCAGCGTGCCAAACATGGTGAGTCTCCCATCACGCACACTAACTGGATTGAGCTTGCAGGCGAAAGTTTATTCTGGTTCTCTCGCCCGCAGCCCCAGCAGCAGCAGCAGGTGTCGGTAGGGATGGTGGCAGGTCAGGGTGTGTCCGCGGGCCCCACAGCCGACCCGGAGAAGCGCAAGCTGATCCAGCAGCAGCTGGTTCTGCTGCTCCACGCCCACAAGTGCCAGCGGCGCGAGCAGGCCAACGGCGAGGTGCGAGCCTGTGCACTGCCCCACTGCAAGACAATGAAGAACGTCCTCAACCACATGACGCACTGCCAGGCCGGCAAATCCTGCCAAGGTGAGTCAACGTCAAATGCCCATCGCCAGAGCTGATCCCAACTCAAATGCTTGCTGGATAATGTAAAACTTTTCCACATGATTCACGATTGGGCTTCAACACAGCTTCAACATGAGTGTCACATGCTGCTTTGACCTCAACATGAAAAGTTTTACAGATAGTGTTACAAAAGGGCGATATTACGAAATTGCGAAGTTGTGAACACAGTAAGTGTATTTTGTAAAAACAAATGAAAACAAATGATATGGATGTTGTTCTGAATGTATACTTTATGCTGCATTATAATATTTTTTTGTTGCTTTTTCGGTCTGAAATCTGATTTCAATTCTTAATTATTCTTGCTCCTTAATGGTTCAGTTAAAATTATTTTAGTAGTGGTGAGGAAGAAATATTCGGAAAAAATAGGCAATTCCTTTGCCAAATGAATTTAAAACAATTCTCACAAAAGGTGTGTTGTACCTTGCAAACAAGTTAATATTATTAATATTGTATATATTAATGTAAACATTGTTCATAATGTAGTAATTAATATTAATTCTGTAATACATAAGAAAAAAATGCATTAAACAAATTTGGTAATTTATTTTTTATAAAAATACTACTGACATGTGAATTTTGTTTATTCATTTATAAACAAAAATAAAATATATTTATACATATGTAATTTTATAATTTATGAAATTATAAATATTAAGAAATTGTTTAAAATATGTATGAAATATTTGTATTAATACATTTTATTATATATTGTTAATTCGGTAATTTTATTTTTATTAATGTATAAATACGTTAAATATATTTATGTAGTATATATTTATGAATAAACATTTATACAATAATATAATTGCAATGTATACAATACTATATAATCTATACAATTGTAAATAATAAAATATTTATTAAAAACAATTAATAAATAAACAATGCCACATTTTAGTTGCTTATATTTATAAAATATTTAAAATATATTTATGTATATAAATAGATTTGATTATTTATTTATATATTTACAATATACATGATTAAATAAACAAATATAATGTACATTGTATCAATGGAATTTTATTAAATGTTATTTTCACATTTTGTATTAAGATATGAATTAACAAAATATGTTACTTTATGTTACTTTACTATAATAATATAATATAATTGCAATACAATATATAATATTGTTTATTTAAACCAGTTTGAGTTTGCAAGAATGACTGCTGTGTTTTGCAGGTTGAGTTGTGCGTCTGGTTTTAATCTGCCGTCTGTTCTTTGTTTAGTCTCAGCGCAAGCTTTAATGAGACGCTTTTGTCCTGATGTGGTGTTTCCAGCATTGTGCGCGTCTTTGTGCTCGTTTCTGCAGTGCTACACTCTAGTGTACTACTAATTTATATAGCTAGCTATTAGAGTAACATCCGATTTAATGACACAGACATTCGAAAAGCACAATAATGGATGTTAAACAGGGCTCAATGCTAAGGATTTTTTCTTCTGGTCCGGTTGGGCCAGTGCTTCAACATTTTTACTGGCCCTGCCTAGGGCTGAACGATTTTGGAAAATAATGTAATTGCGATTTTTTTTTTACCAATATTGCGATTGTGATTTAATATGCAATTTTTTTTAAAAAAGCTCAGTTTTTGTAATGCTTGTTTGTGATTATATATCAATATGAGTATAATAATCAAAATTAGTAGGTAACACTTTACAACAAGGTCCCACTAAAATTAGTGTGGAGAAACATTTAGTGCAAACCACTGAAAACACTGGATCATGAATGGCTCATGTGTAAATGAACACAGTGCCACGCTTCACTCTGAAACATTATTATTCTCTCGCTGTTATTTATTTATTTTTTGTGGGTTTCATGCTGTCCGCTAAAACATAGGACACACACAGGCTTTCCACCTCACCAATGACATTAAACACTGTGTCTACACCGGACGCAAGCGGCAAAATACAGTAGAACCATTATAATCAGTGACGCTGTGTACACTGGATGCGGCGTGACATTAAACTGATGCCTTGTTCTATTTATGACGTACTGACACAAAGTTAAAGTGATTTGCAATGGTCGCTTTGTCTCGTCCAGTGTTGTGCTGTTGCGGCGCGACGCGACAACTGTAGCGTTCGGTATAGACACGGTGAGTGAAGCCGAGAGCAAGATATACCTCGTCATATTTTCTGCATTTAGCTTTTAAATGACCAGCACCTGCCTGGGTCTGTGCCACTTCATCTATGGCTTTTCTCTTCCCTTTCACAAACCAATACATCTCCCATTCTAAGTTACATCCTTTGGCTGTTTTATTTCTTTTCTTTTTCTGCTGATGGCCCGCGCTCGACTTGAAGCAGCGCTGCTTAGATCGATGGGTGTGTGTCATCAAAGTACTGCGAGAGCTATAAGAGAGCGCGGACGTCTCCTTATGCTTTCTCTCGCCTTACTTTGATGTCATACACCGATCTGATCTTCAAGTTGAACAAACCTCTTTACTCTCGCGTGTCACGTGACCGTGTAATCGCAGCCTCTGCGATTGAAAAATCGCGTTATTTCATATCGCGATATTATCGCAAATGCAATTAATCGTTCAGCCCTAGCCCTGCCACAAAAAAAGAAAATAGTTGCTGTTAAAATCGCTTGAATTTTTAAATTAGCAAGGCTTAAAAACACATGCAAATGATTAGGGCTGGGTATCATTCAAAATTTTTCGATACTGATATCTTGACTTCGATACCGGTTCCTGAACGATACTTTTTTCGATACCAATTTTATGAAGTAAATTTGAACAATATTACATTATCTAAAAAAAAAAAACTTTGGTTTTATTTTTCAGCTTGTTAATGTTTATACAAACTCAAAGACACATCTCCTGAGCCACTGCACAAAGGAACAAAATGTAACCAACACAATAAATCAGTGCAAAATAGTTTTAATAAAGCTCAAATAGTCTTCAGTTTACACATCTGTTAGGCTACATTTACACTAGTTAGTGATCGTTTTAAAACGTATAGCTCAGACAGAATCATGATTTCTATTTATTTTCCACTGATTTACTGATGAGCATTAGCAGCTTCCAGCGCTGTCTGCTTGTGTTCTCTCTTCCATGATCGCTGCTCTGACTCCGAGTCAGAGGTAATAACAACATATTTAAAAACCGATACAGTGTTTTCTATTCGATCTGCGCCGCTCCTCTAGTCGAACACACCGGCTAGTGCTGCAAGCTTATTGACTCACTAACGCTGATGAGATTAACCCCTTAGGTATCGAAATTTGGTACCGAACGACAAGACGTTTTTCGATACTCGATGGTATCGAGGCAATTTGGTCGGTGCCTAAAAAGTATCGAACTCGATACCCAGCCCTACAAATGATACACTTTTGTGACAATGCAGCAGCGGCCCTCTACTGTCCCGAGTGTCTTTCACACTGGCCCCGGGCCATCGGGCAGTCCTTATTCTCAAGCCCTGTTATATTTCATCAGTGCACTTCCATAGAGTGAAATTCTGGCCGAACACCTTTGGGTTTACAACAGTAATGTTTCATTCACTCACACTGGGAATTTCCCGAGCAAACGCTCTGCTCTGTCTAAAGTATAACAGTCTGTTCAGAGAGAAAACCGTGCTCTTTATGGTATAATGCAATATTAAGGGCTTGGCAAACGGCAGGAGAGGGCTTGCGGCGGCCCAATGCTGCCCGGCTGCTTTGCTCTCAGAGCTTTAGCTGTTGTTGGACCCGGAGCACAGGGCGTAATTTCAACTCAAACACAAGCCTGGTGCCAAGCGCGCCGTCCATGGTGCCAGCTTATTTCCTGTTCTTCTCTGCCCGCTGTGACACCCGTATCTCTCCGCTTGGACTCCTGAGGAAGGGCATGAAGGCTAGAGATGACTCTTAAAGCATTGTGTGTTTGCAGACAGTGTTTGGTGCCTCCTGAAGGCTCTCCTGGCAGAACTCGCTTCCTTCTGTAACCGGCAACTAAACCAGGTGTGACACAGCAGCAATAAATCATAATGGTATTGATACTGGAAACGAGCAGTGGGACACAACTTGATCACTCCTATTGTAATAGCTACACAATTGCTCTAAACAATGGGAAATACCTATTTCTGACACGCTGCTTTGCCTCTATGACAGAAAATATCATAATAATGATATAATGCATGTATCTTGTGTGAATTGGTTATGGATATTCAGTTTTAAATCATTTTCAAAAAAATATATTATTCATTTTATTTATTTATTCATATACATTTATTTAATATAATTTAATTAATATTAATGTCCCATATTAAATCAAATAATTAATTTAATAAATACTATTAGATAATTATTAGAATTTTGATTGAGCTTTTATTTTTATATTTTCAGTATTTTCATTTTAATTTTAGTTAAATTTTTTCACTAAAGTTAAAAAGTCAATTTTAATTTGTTTTTAGTTTTATCTATTTCATTTTTTATTACTTTTTTAGTTGTTATATTGCTATTTAGCTTTAATTTGTTTTTCATTTTCATTAATTTTATTTCCTTTAGTACTTTTAGTACGTATTTCTGTTAGTTGCCAAGGCAAAAGTTAAAAATTTTTAATTAAGTTTTTAATCTAGTATTTATATTCTGTTTTATTTCAGAATTATTGAAGTTAATGAAATTAATTTTAATGGTTTGTTCTAAGTCGAAATTAAGTGAATAAAGTTAATTTACATATAAATTAAGTTGTGTTTTGAGTACATTGTATAATAAAATATAATTTATAATTATTTTCTCTTAATAATTATAATTATCATCACATTTATTTATTTATTTTCCCCTTAACTAGTTTCCCATTAATCCCTCCTACAGTGGAATTTCATTGTTTTAAGATAACAGATAACTGTAATTAAACATCAATTATAATCTGTTTGCCTGTGATTAATGTCATTTGTAGTATCTTTTTACTTCCTGTGAGGACAAAAAAAAGCCTTGGGACAAAACCGTGATTCTTTGCTGTGGGTTTGGTGAAATCACTTGCGGCAGATGTGTGTCTGCTGTGCAGACCTGCTCTCCCACAGGAACTTTCTGCTCCCAGTTTTGCAGCAGTTGGACACACTTGCACTTTGGCTCAGGCTTTCTTCTGTCTCTGTCTGCAGTGGCTCACTGTGCTTCATCGAGACAGATCATCTCGCACTGGAAGAACTGCACGAGGCACGACTGTCCCGTCTGCCTCCCGCTGAAGAACGCCAGTGACAAACGCAACCAGCAACGTGAGTCCTTCCTCCATCAAACATCCTCCTCTGTACTTCACGACAGTACATTTGCATAAAGAAATAATATTGTATAAATTATATTGTGTTTAGACTTATTACACCTAAAATAATAATACTGATAACACTTCTTTTTCACAAGGGTGTGCTTTTAAACCGTATCCAATAAAGATAGTTTTATAAAGAAGTTCATTTGTAGCCAAAATGTATATTTGTTCACAAAGCTGTTATCAGGCATTTCAACAAACACATTTAAATTTATATTATAATGTAAATTTTATATATTCCAGCTATAATAAATTGTCATTTGATGGCAAATAACATTCATTTAAGTGTCTGAAACATTACATTCATGAGTACACTTAAGTGTATTATTTTACTCTTACACTATAGTACATTATTTCCGTAATATAGGATTCAAGGATCAAAGTGTGTTTAAAGTGAGTAACACATTCAGCTCTACACTGTGTTTTTTGGGATGTGTAGTTATTCAGCAGGATTCTGTAAGGAGAGGCGTCATGCTGGTTCAGTAGCTGTGAATGTGTGAATGTTTCAGACGGGCCGTGTGTGTTTGCTGCGGGGGGTAGAGGTGGTGAGGATGAGGAGAGTCGTGCCGCCCCGGTGGCTGAGCGGTGACTCATTAAAATCTCACACTGTTATTGCCCCAGCAAACCTGCAAAGCGCCTCTCCCTCTGCCAGGCGTCTCTCATCATGACTCTGAGAGCGCGAGGCAGCTAAAGTGTTTGTTTTTGCGCAGAGTCGCCACTGCGATATTTCTTCCCCATGCAAATGGCGTCTTGGACCCCCTCCCCTTTCCTTTCTACTTCCCCCGTTTTTTCCACTATGTTCAGATGAGTAATATTTTCTTCCAGACGGCTGTTTGGCAGGGTTTTAACTTTTTTTTTTTTTTTTTTGCGTTCCTCTGTTTTGACAGACAGATTCTGGCAAGTGTTTAAGCAGAATCAGACGTGAAATCTCACGCAGAGCTTGGTTTGAAATGCACAGATGTCGTATTACAGCATCTCTTTTCTGCGTTACAGCAATGCTGAGTCCCCCCAATGCTGGTCTGCAGAGCCCTATCGGGACGGTCGGTACGGGGCAGCAGACGGCGCCCGCTCTGCCCAGCTCCACGCCCATCGACCCCAGCTCCATGCAGCGGGCCTACGCTGCCCTCGGCCTCCCCTACAGCAGCCAGACCCCCACACAGACACAGGGCCCCGGGCAGATGACTGCACAGATGCCGCAAATGAGATCCATCAACACGCTCGGTAAACTAGTATGTTATTGTAGGAAAATATATTATATTAATAATACCAAAAATAATGTGTATGTTATATATATACAAATTTAATTTTATGAGCTTATGAGTATTAGTTTATGTATTTGTATTTATTATTAGAAATTGTTTATTTTTATATTGTTCATATAAGTTATCTGAAAATCGATCATATATTACGTATTATTTAGGGAATACGAGTTACATATTTTTACATTTTTATTTATATGTTTTTATTTCTTAGAACCATCTCAAGGATGATCAGAAGAAATGGACAGCACCTGAGTTAAATATATGAGTGTCACAGCAAAGGGTCTGAATACTTAGGACCATGTGATATTTCAGTTTTTCTTTTTTAATAAATCTGCAAAAATGTCAACAATTCTGTATTTTTCTGTCAATATGGGGTGCTGTGTGTACATTAATGAGGAAAAAAAATTACTTAAATGATTTTAGCAAATGGCTGCAATATAACAAAGAGTGAAAAATTTAAGGGGGTCTGAATACTTTCCGTACCCACTGTATATATACTATTATAGATACTATTGTATTATTATAGTATAATATTATAGTTTTTTATTAATATTGAATCAGTTTTTATTTTATTTACATTTTTTCAAAGTTAAAGTTTTATTAATTTTATTGGGTTTTGTAAAAATATTTGTCTACATAGTTTCTAATAATTTTAATTTTAGTTTTAGTTATTTTAGTGCATCAGGTTAGACTAAATTAAAATGAGAAATGTTGCCTTGGCAACTAGCTGAAATGTTTTAATATTTTATTTCAGTTAATGTGTTATATTTCAAGTTATTATTTTTTCATGGTTTTAGTTTCAGTATTTTATTATTAGTATTAGTTAGTAGTAGTTAAATATATAATAACCCTGATATACAGTGTATATATATATATATATATATATATATATATATATAAATAAATTCCACGAAAATATAATGTATTATTATCAAAATCTAATCTATTACATATTATTTATGGAGTATGAGTTTTATTTTATTTATGTATTTTTATTTAATTATTTATTTATTTATTTTTTGTCCAGGGGGAGGTCAGATGAACTCAATCGGCGTACCGACATCAGAACAGGCTAAGCTGCTCTCAGATGGCACCATGCCATCAACCCTTAACCCTAACAAGTATGACTCGGACACACACCGATCAAAACACACTCCCAGCTCTTAATTGCTTAAAATTGATTGTCTTAATGTCTTAATGCTGTTTGCTTACTAAATATCTCCTGATTCTCTTTACGCAGTCAGCTGATGCCGGATGGCCCTATGGTAGGCAGCATGGGTAACCTACCCACAGCGGCCCCTCTGTCAGCCACCGGTGTGAGGAAAGCCTGGCACGAGCACGTCACTCAGGACCTGCGCAACCACCTTGTACACAAACTGTTAGTAAACGCTGCTCTTAAACTATATATATTTTACAAATGTTTTTAAATTGTTATGCTCAGCAAGACTGCATTTATTTGATCAAAAATACACTAAAAACAGTAATATTGTGGAAAAAATTATTATAGTTTAAAATAACCCTTTTCTATTGTAATATAACAATTGTAATAACTGCTTAATAGCTGCTTAATGTTTTTTTTTTTTTTTTGGTGGAAATCTTTTTTCCAGGAGTCTTTCATGAATAGAAAGTAAAAAAACAGCATTAAATAAAATGAAAAGATCGCTTTGAGTGAAGGGGTTTTGCTCTCTGTGTTTGTTTAGGGTTCAGGCCATCTTCCCTACGCCAGACCCGGCCGCCCTGAAGGACCGTCGCATGGAGAACCTGGTGGCATATGCACGAAAAGTGGAAGGGGATATGTACGAGTCGGCCAATAGTAGGGTGAGCACAAACCCTCGGTCAGGGTTACACCTCAACCGAAAGGCTGATAAAGTGAAATTCTTAAGTTTCGATTATGTTGATTTTAACACTGTTATCTGTGCATGTTGTATAGGACGAGTACTATCACTTTCTGGCAGAGAAGATCTATAAGATCCAGAAGGAGCTGGAGGAGAAGAGAAGATCCCGATTACAAAAGCAGATTATCAACCAGACGCCCATGACTGCAGCGGGACAACAGCCACCGGCCCTCAACCAGCCTAATGTCATGGGACCTCGGCCACAGAGTAAGTCATTTAAAAACTAGGGCTGTTATGTGATTACAATTTTTATCTAATTGCACGATATGCCAGTTAATTTATCAAATTAATTGCACATCAATTTGGGCTGAGAAATTACCTACAAAAGCTAATTATTATTTAAGATCAAATTTATTACACATAACCTTTTAAGGCTACAATGTGGCCATAACATTGTTTTCAGAAGCTGCATCTGAAGTGCATTTCTGACTGTCCAGAGGTGGCATGAATGCATTTACACTGCAATTAGAATTGCATAAATAATCTTATGAGATTTAATGGGTTTTAAATGAACATTCATGTTTTTTTTTTTTTTTTTTTTTTTTACAAATATTGAAAATTGTAAAAATTATACTCTGAATACTAAACTAAAACCACCAGTAAGGGGTGGCGAAGTCATAATGAGTGAATCATTGAATCATTAATTTAACCAATTTGTCAAAATGGCTAATTCATTCAGAAACAAAGCAAGTGACTGTCTTTATGAACGAGTCACTGGATAATTGACTCACTTGATTCATTGAAAACGGCTGATTCATTCAATAACAAAACATTGCTGTGTTTTGCTTGGAAAGGTTGTTCTGCTGTGGATTTGTTTGGAACTATTTTTGTTGCCGAATTTGATCAAAAACTGACAATATTGTGTCTAAAACACAATATTAACTTCTTGTTTATTGAACTGTTGTATAAAATCAATATCACATTTGCAGTCGTCCAGATATTCAGGAAAAAACAGCACTCTTGCTTATGTGATATTGCTAAACTTTATCATATGATATAAATATAAGACAAAAACTTATATGGGGCATTTTCACCCTCATATCTTTAATTTTGGGGGCATATAACTGGATTATAATAGGCTACATCACTCAGTCATCAGTCGTCCAGCATCATGTTTGTCAGCAGCTGCACGCAATGTAAAATGACATACCTGTCTGGGCCGTGATGCGCTGTGTTAAAAATTAACACCATAACTAATCGCACCAAATTAAAGTGTTAAATCTTTATATCTCTGCGTTATCAATCTTTTTTGTTGTTTTTTCCAACAGGGATGAATCCATTCTGCGCATTGCCCAATGTGCCGATGTCTCAGGCTCCCATGGCAACACGTGCCGCTTCTCCGATAAACCATCAACAGATCAATATGAACCAAGTCCCGACGGTCAGTCTTCATGTCTGGATCCCTCTCATTTCTGCTCTCTGGACGCATATCGCATTGTATCATTCTCGTCATATTTTCACAGATGAATATGTCTCCCACGCGAATGCCCCCCACTCAAAGCATGCTGGGAGCTCACGGCGGGAAAATGGTGGCACAGACGGCCAACCAGACGCAGTTCATGGCTCAACCGCAGTTCCCCACCAATACCAACGCCATGAATGTCAACATGGGCCAGCCCAATACGCAGGCGGCCGTTTCACAGGTGCGCACATGCACTCTCATCCTAGAGTGACCTCGTTCTGCACAACGACGTTCCCACTAAACTTGTTTTGTCCCTGCTTGTGTGCGTGCGATCTCTCCTTCCCCAGCAGCAGCCGAACGCTAACCTCTCCCTGAATGCACTTGGCCCCTTGGGCCCCCCGCTAGGCTGCCCCGCACCCCCTCAGGCTCCACTCCGCGCCACACCACCCCCCAACGCCACCGCCAGCACCACTAACCTGCCAGCAGCACTGCAGCCCAGTCAGGCCTCCACACCCACCCCCGCCCCTGCTCAGGGCACCCCACCTCACATGCAGCCCCAGACGGAGCTGCCCCTCCCTGCCCAGCAGCACCCTGGAACACCGGTGAGACCTGCAGATCCATCTTCAGATCCAAAACCTAGTGAGCTTCCTACATAGGTAGCATCCTGACCAGAATGAAACCTCATAACTGACTGGTTGTGAGGTAGTCGGGACACAGACAGCAATCTTTGGGTTCCATTGCACTTCTCACAAGGAACTAGGATTGTGCAATTTGGGGAAAAATCTAATTGTGATTTTTCCTATAAAATGGCAATTGCGATTTTAAAATGGGTTGCTTCTCTGTTTTGTTTTTATAATTATTAATAATAATTATAATTATTATTATTCATATTATTATTGCTGCTACTATTTCTATTACTATACATAAAAAAATTCCCTGTAAAATAAAAAATATAGAGTCTTAAGTTTGCTGCACAATGTGGCCAAAAATATTGATTATATTCCACTATGATTATAAAATAACCGTAACTTATTAATATTAGTAATAATAATTAATATTATTAATATTGTTATGGTTACTATGAAATAAAAATATTAAAATAAGTAATTTTGTAATTTGTAATAAAGAGTTTTGGAGAGTCCAGGTTTGCTGCACAATTTGGCTAAAATATTATAATGATCAGTGTTGGGTAAGTTACTCTGAAAGTGTAATCAAATTACTGATTACTCCTTTTAAAAGTAATCACGTTACTGTTCTGATTACTTTATTTCAAAAGTAATTAGTAATTAGTTACATTGCTAGTTACGTTACTTTTTTCTCCTTGAAATTTATGAAATTCCAGCATACACGCTCCCCTGATAAATATTTGTTATTAAAGCATCAACATTCACAGAAAACTGTTATTTTTAACTAAAGCAAGCGGCTGCTGCGTGCATGCTTTGGCATGGCAGAATACCAGCAAAGAGTGCTGCATTTATAATCTCTAAAAGACATCTCAGTTCATCGCAATCTCACAAATCTCTGTTAGGCTATAACACAATAATGCATAATGAATCTTTCGTAATGTCTACAATTCGTGTGTTATAATGAGAGGATTCGTGAGCATGCAAATTTCAGCACTGCATTGCTCAACGCTGTAAACACGTGTTATAGCCTAAATAGAAACTCTACATACGCTTGCACCTATTAATCGTTTATATTTTATATTAGTTCATGTTGCTTTTGTGCAATAGAGGAATAACAATTTATTTGTTTTAGATATTTTATGATTAGATATTTCTATTTTGCGGGAGTCCCGTGAATCATTTTATTCTCCCGCATCCCGCACACACACGAGTGTCTACCCGCCCGCAGCAGCACTCGCCCATCTTGTCCCACGCTGCACTCTGTTGCGTCGGGTCTCGCGGGAGTAGGTCTCTAATCCACTGGCACTTGACTCGCCAGTGCGTGTGCTACATCCTTTTTACAATCTCTAGATTATAAATCACTGCATTCTGTCAGCAATGTAACGCGGCAGTAACGTATAGAAACCTCGGCTTGTAACTATACTCGAATTACTATTTTGAAAATTATAATGCGTTAAATTACTCCGTTACTAAAAAAAAGTAATCAAATTACAGTAACGCGTTACTGCCCAACACTTATAATGATATACCAATATGTATAAAAAATAACCCTAACCTAATAATAATAATTATTATTATTATTACTACTACTATTACTAAATACTTTTTAAAAATAATATTACCAAATATTATGTTACATATTATATATTTAGTTAGGTTTAGTAAATGATAACAACTTATCATTAGAAATAGTAATAATATTACTAAATAGTATATTTTATTTAGTAATAAAATATATCCATTATATTTTATATTACTATTACATTATATATATATATATATATATATATATATATGTATATAATATTACTACTACTAATTAACAATATTATTAATACTGCGACTACTAAATAATATTAAACAAAATTATTAATACTACTATTTTCATGAGCTTCTTGCATGTGAATGTACACTGTGCCACACTTCATTCTGAAAACCACAGCTCATTTATTTAATTAAATCACAGCCTTTGCGATTTAATAACCCCACTAAGCCATATTGCGATTTTTTTATTTCATGCATGTTTTTTCATGCAGACCTAACAGAAACGCACAGATTCTTTTAAATGTATTACAATTGTGTTTGAAAATAGCATGTTACCAAGCTCATATCACAGTTCTACACTAAGCATAAGCATAAATAGAATGCACAAGTATTAGAATTATAAAAAAAAAAAAAATTCAAAATAGTATTAATAGTCATCCTTAGTCAAATTGCCATGCATTCTAGGATTGCATTCGTCTCAAAGGATACGTGAACTGCGGCCTGATTTTGACCTAAACATGATACCTTAAGGCCCAGACACACCAGACAGACATCAAAGAGCTAGTGGCGACCAAAGCTGACTGTGGTGTCGCCTAAAATATTACTGTTATTGTGTCATGAAATGCAGTTCTAAGAGTATTTCAGGCGAGAGTGTAGTTGTTTAAAACTTAAATCTGCGGTTTATTTATAAAGATAGCGCCTATTTTTAAATTTGCTTCGCCGATTACTTAGACGTAGCTCCACGTGATCACCGGGCGCTCAGCGCTCATGTATCCGCCGAGAGCAGTCTCACCTCGGCTAGTCCTTCTGATATTTGCCGCTGGCTCTGATGTCTCTGGTAGTGGTTAAACATGAGGTAAAATTCGTTTTGGGTAAATCTAACAGGCAATCTTTGGTCTCATGAATCTATTATTTATCGTTTTGGCTGAGCATAAAGTTATGTTTAATAAATTATGTTCACTGACGAGCTGCGCAAAAAATCGCGCGAATATGAACGTGGTTTTGCGCAGCTCGTCAGTGAACAACGGCTCTGTGTAGTTAATGCTGCTCAATGTGAAAGCCCGCAGGTGATGGAGATTTATCGCTGATTACAGAACCGGCTTTACTGATAAGATGCGCGTTAAATATGGCATGCGATTTATCGTGCAGCCCTAGTTTAAATGAAAACGAAAAGAGGCAGTGATGTTTGATATCATATTTCGTCGTATTGTATACATACAGTGAAGACAACCGGAGTACCCAAGGCGAGCTGACTGATGTTATCAAGTACACTGCTGTTCCATTTGCAGAATTAATTGTGTCCTCCCATCCCCAGGAGTTCGCACTCCCGAGTCGAACTTGCGAAGTCCGAACTACCGAGGATGCAAGTCCGAACTTTGCGTACTTGGTATTGAGAAACGGCTTAGGACTGCAGATATACAAACCATAAAACAAAGCAAATAGACTTTGTTGGTTTTTTCCGTTTTTTTTGTGTTTTTTTTTCAGTACACTCGTTTTCCAAGCCGAACAGCCTATCAGAGTGATCCCTCTTACAAAATATAGTCTGGGCCTCACATTTGCCGACAGCAATCCTTCAACTTTAGAATGCAGCATAAGCTTGATGGCCATCATTTCAAACAGCCTTTGTGTGGAAAGTGCACCTTTGACCCTCAGTAGGCCGCTCACTAGGTTTTGGAACAAAGATACGGTGATGTTATCAAACCAAACGGTGCCATCTTTCCAAAATGACACCATAATCGCTCAGCGATTATAATATTTATAATAAGGCAATATTTATAATATTTATTTCAAGGCAATAAATCTGATACTTTGTCTTTCAGAGCGGTGAAAACCGTGTGCCCACTCCAGCATCGGCAGCCAGCGCCGAGCTGCACTCCCAGCATGCCGTGCCTGATGTACCGCCCAGCAACACTAAAACAGAAGAGCAAGAATACGACATATGCATCAAAACGGAGCCCAAGATGGAGGTGTGTTTTGTATATATGTTTTCAACACTGATTAAAAATAAATCATGTTTCTTAAGCAGCAAATCAGCATATTAGAATAAAAATCTTTCCAACCCAGATTTTAATTTCAGTCTCAAATTTTCATGGTTGTTCTGCCTTTGTTAGACGGAGGACGACACAGGCTCCCTACTGGTCAAAAAGGAGGAGCCAGAGGGGTTGGAGGCTAAGCAGGAGCCAATGGAGACTGAGGACAAGAAGACAGACTTAAAGATGGAGACCAAAGAGGAAGATGAAAGCAAGACGAACGGTACAGCGACTTCACCATCTCAGTCACGCAGGAAAAGTATGAACTGACACTTCTCTGTTTTCTTTTCTGTTGGCTCTACATTTCTTTGTCTTCGTAATCTTTTTATTTCTGTGTTTCTCTCTCTTCTCAGTCTTTAAGCCAGAAGAGTTGCGGCAGGCATTGATGCCCACTCTGGAGTCTCTGTACAGGCAAGATCCAGAGTCTCTGCCCTTCCGGCAGCCTGTGGACCCCATACTTCTTGGCATCCCTGTGAGTCTCACATACATATATGCATGTATCTTTATTAAATCATATGTGAAGACTGTACAAGTACACGTTTGACTGAACTATGAAGGTGTTTCCTTTCATGCCTTCAGGACTACTTTGATATCGTGAAGAACCCCATGGACCTGTCCACTATCAAGCGCAAACTGGACACGGGTCAGTATCAGGAGCCGTGGCAGTACGTAGATGACGTGTGGCTGATGTTCAACAACGCGTGGTTGTACAACAGGAAGACGTCACGTGTGTACAAGTACTGCTCCAAACTGGCTGAGGTGTTCGAGCAGGAGATCGACCCCGTCATGCAGAGCCTCGGTTACTGCTGCGGAAGGAAGGTGAGATGAACTGACATTCAGTTCAAATTCGGTTGTCTTATGAATTCCACATAGCTAATAATAACAATAATAATAATAATATGTAATTATTTTTTACAAATGTATATTAAATATTAATAAATTAAAGTTAATTAAATAGTTGTACAATAATAATAATAATAATGTGGAAATAAGTGTATCTTAAATACATTGTTGTTTATTAAATGGTTGTAACAACAATAATAATGTGCAAACAAATGCATTATTGTATAATAAATGGTTATACAGCATTGCTTCACAGTACTAGTAGTACTAATAAAAATAATAGTAATATGCAAATAAATGTATACTAAATGTTATTGTATAAATTGAATAATAAGTGATTATACAATATCTCTCCACAAAAATAATAATGTGAAAATAATAACTATAATCTGTAATAATGTTAAAATAAATATATTACTTGATGATAAATGTGAAAATGCTAATTATTTGGAATTATGGAGGTGTAAAAAATAAAGTGAATATCTAACAATAATTTCTGGACATGAGTCATTTTTATGTATGTTTGTTCACCCATTCAAATAATGCAACTGTAATATTTTGTTTATTTTAAATAATATTAATACTACAGTAGTTATGTTAGTTTTGAACCTCCAGTATTTTGATGCTAGCTATTCAACTCCTGGTCGACTGCACAGAAACTCGATATAAACAGACGTTTCCGGTCATGTGTCTGAACTCTCTTTTCTCCTTTCCTCCCACAGTACGAGTTTTCTCCTCAGACACTGTGCTGTTACGGCAAGCAATTATGTACAATACCCCGAGACGGCACTTATTACAGTTATCAGAACAGGTGAGATGATACACGTGCCCTTTCTTGAGGTAGAATTCATGTAGTCGACAGCCTTAGAAAACGTTTAGGAGGACACTCAAGTTGAAGCAGGCGTGCTCTCTGTCATGTGGTGTAGTGAGTTCAGTCGTGTGTGGTTTTTGACACACATTTGGTAGATCAGACATTAAACCTCCCTGTGTGGCTGTGTGTACACTAGCATAGTTTACTATCAGGCCTGTTCATATGTATTTTCTAAACATAAGACTGCTCGATTACAACCCCCTCCCCCTTTCTCTTTCTTCACGGATACACTGCTTGAAGTCTCCAGCCAGTCTTAATTTATTGGCAGTTGTAATATTTGCACTGGCACATTTATTAGTTTTTTTTTTTTTTTGCTGTGAATTGCCTGCTTACTCATAACAAGCTCCCTTTGCGCCCCCTGCAGCATAGAGCATGTCACTGCAGAACCTCCAAATAAGCTGATTGTCAGACACAGCCGCTCTGGCTCTTGGTTTACTCGCATCCAATCGGAACAGATTTGGAGAAATTTAGCCCTGCAGTGGATCCTCTGCAGTGAATGGGTACCGTCAGAATGAGTGTTCAGACAGCTGATAAAAACATCACAATAATCCATAAGTAATCCACACTACTCCAGTCTATCAATTAACATCATGTGAAGCGAAAAGCTGCGTCTTTGTAAGAAACCAATCAATCATGAAGATGCTTTAAACTTCAAAACTGTTGTTTCTGGCTAAAATCCTCTATTCATAATATTTCTTTCTCCAGTGAAAAAGTCGTGTTGTCTAAATCAGGAGAGAAATATGCACAGATCAAACACAGTTTACAAGCAAAAACCAAAACATTTCTTAACAAATATTTTGATGCGAGGACAACAGGGGATGAACTTTTTCACTGAAGGAAGCTTTATTATGGATTATGGACTCATATTTTGGCCAGAAATGATGGTTTAAAGTTAAAACGCCTTAATGTTGGCTTAATTGATGCACTGGAGTGGTGTGAATTATTTGTGGATTATTGTGATGTTTTTATCAGCTGTTTAGACTCTCATTCTGACGGCACCCATTCACTGCAGAAGATACATTGGTGAGCGAGTGATGTAATGCTAAATTTCTACAAATCTGTACAAACTCATCTACTTCTTGGATGGCCTGAAGATGAGTAAATTTTCAGCAAATTTTCATTTCAGGTGAACAATTACTTTAATGTTTCCCATTGAGCCCTTGGAAGCCATTCACATTACTTTCACACTGTGATACTGATTACAGCATCGAATGACTTTTAGGGAATAATCATCGTACACATTTTATATTCTGTTTGGATTAATGAATAATAAACTCACTCATGTGTGCTTCTGTATATATATATCTTATATATTATATATCTGTATATCTTATAACTGTTGTGTTTGTGACTATACAGGTATCATTTCTGTGAGAAGTGCTTCAATGAGATTCAGGGAGACAGTGTGACACTAGGAGATGATCCTGCTCAGCCCCAGACGTAAGTGATTGTTCACCTTCTCTTTTTGTGGTTATATTCAAGCTCAGTTGTGGAGATTTTATCGCTTTAGTTCAAAATCATTCTGAATGATTAATTTTCTCCATTCCATAATAAACTGAATAATTTTTGAAAAGTTTTAAATGTTCAACAAATCAGATTTTGGGTCTTCTTTGTATGCAGCATGATCTCTAAAGACCAGTTTGAAAGGAAGAAGAATGACACGTTAGATCCTGAGCCGTAAGTAAACGCTCCACTTTATTTCCCAGAATTCCATGAGGCAACTATCAATGCACTAGTAGCACATGCTCTAATAGTAGTGCTATACTGGGGTGCGTTTCCCAAAAGAATCGTTAGCCAACTATGGTCGCAAGTTCCGTCGTTACCAACATAGTTCAACGATTCGGTGTGTCCCGAAACCATAGTTCAAACGAACATTCGCAAACAGCGTCACAAACTTACATGGTTGGAACTACAGCTCTTGATCTGTGGTTAGAAGCATAGTTTCTTGTTAGCAAGGGATTATGGGCTTAAATAAATGTGCTCTTGGGCACAATAAGCAAGCTAACATGCAGTACAATCTAAATATAAATCCATTTTAATCTATGTATTTTTGCGCATCCTCAGTAAGCGCCGTTTTTGAAGAGTGCGCATGTGCATAAATGCCTAAGGGAACCCCAGAGTATGACATAAGTGAGAACCCGCGATGAATCAAACATCAAATAAAGCAAAATGACGGAGCAAAAAATAGTAAATTAGTCATCAGGTGCCATGTTCAATACAGCAGCATCTTAGAGATGTAATCGGTTAAATAGCAGAAGTTATTCCTTCACCACATGCGTGTGACATCATTAACAATGGCCCTATGTTGTTGAACTAATGTGGTTCAAGCGACGGACATGCAACCGTGTTTGGGAAACAGTCGTAACTAGTTAGTTAGTTTCAACAACAATACATCGTACTATGGTGGTTAATCAGCGAGTTACGTCGTTGTACGGGAAACGCACCCCTGTTATTGGCTCATACAGTTGTCCACTCTGGACTCGTTAACACCACATGGCTTTTGCTCACTGGCGCCCCCTGCTGTCAATAACATAGGGCATAGAGACACTCCCACAACACGAACACAACACTACAGTCTGCAAGCATCAGTATTATCCAGAAGTTGTCCAAATCCACACCTCCTACAAAGGCGCAGTTGCATTGGCCTGCTTGCAAATGCGTAAGAACTGGAGGAAAAGAAGCTGAATGATGTATTTCATATTAACTACCTGCTCTCGCAGTTAGTGACTACGCATTCAGACACTTGCTAAAATAAAAGCTGCCAGAATACAAAGGGCATGAAACGATTGCATCCCCCATTAATCGATTCTCCTCCTATCAGGTTTGTTGAATGTAAAGATTGCTGGCGGAAGATGCATCAGATATGTGTCCTGCATTATGAGGCCATCTGGCCTTTAGGGTGAGTGAAAGCACCTCAAGAGTGAACAGAGTTGCTCTGATATCGATTATGGATGCGTTGCGGGAAGTCAGCACTAATGAGCATTTCTCTCTGCAGTTTTATCTGTGATAACTGTTTGAAAAAGAGCGGGAAGACGAGAAAAGAGAACAAGTTTTCGGCAAAAAGTAAGTAATAGGACTGTTCATGTGATGCATTAATGCTAAATGGATGGTTTACCTCATTTTGTCATTTGCTCACTCTCATGTTGTTCCAAACCAGTATGACTTTTGTTCATCTTTGAAACACAAATGAATGTATTTTTAATGAAACCTGGGAGATTTCTGTCCCTCCACTGAAAGTCCATGCAACCAAAATTGACAATCCTTAAAGTTCCTAAAGACATCGTAAATGTTATCCATATGATTTGAGTGTTTAAATCCATGTCTTCTAAAGAGACATGATCACTTGATATGATGAACAAATGTAGTTTAGGCTTTTATTCAACATATAAACATGGATCAGCGCACATGCATAGAACTCATAAAATATGGCAAACGGAAGCTCAAATATGCTTGCTTCTGTTTACCATTCTTATTGGTGAAATCTCTCAGCTTTCAATAAAAAATATTGAAAAAAATTTAATTTAATACTCTCTTTACAAGTGTTTTTGTACTAAATGCTGTTGTTTTCGATCCAGGGTTGCAGGTGACGCGGTTAGGCACGTACATAGAGGATCGGGTGAACAAGTACTTGAAGAGGCAGAACCATCCGGAAGCTGGAGAGGTGTTCGTGCGAATTGTAGCCAGTTCAGATAAAATGGTGGAGGTCAAACCTGGCATGAAGGCCAGGTAAACTTAAGCCGCTTTTCCACCGAAATTACCTGGAACAATTTGTCCCAGGAACTTTTTTCCCCCAGACCTGTTGCTGTCTGCGTTTCCATCGCGGTCTAAAGTACCGTGAAGAATAGGCAAATAGTCTGATGACGTAGGTCTCTGCGCGTTTTTCAATACCAAGTACGCAAATTTCGGACTTGTATCCTTGGTAGGTCGGACTTTGCGAGTTCGACTCGGGAGTGTGAACTCCCGCGTACGGGACGACGCAAGTCCGGTAATTCTGCAAACACCAGCGTACTTGATAACATCGGTCAGCTCGCCTTGACTACTGCAATTTTTCTCACTGTATTTACGAAATATGATATCAAACACCACTGCCTGTTTTTGGTTTCATTTGAAACATATTAATAGCCGCAGAAATGTAGTTCAGTATAGCCTACATTACAATGAAACAAAATATTATATCAAATAGTATTGCCTCTTTTTTTTTATTCATTTTAACATATTGAAGGGGTCATATGATGCGATTTCAAGGTTTCCTTTCTCTTTGGAGTGTTACAAGCTGATTGTGCATAGATAAGATCCTTGAAGTTGCAAAGACTGAAGTCTCAAAACCAAAGAGATATTCTTTATCAAAGTTAAGACTCTGCCACGCCCCCCTAAAACGGCTCGTTCTAACACGCCCCCACATATCTACCTCACTATGTGGAAATATTAGCATAATGCGATTCTGACTTTGCTATGACAATCTGGCGCTTCTGAATCAGCTACTGTTTTGTTATTAGTTTAAAGGGGTCATATGATGCTTTTTTAAAGATCATTATTTTGTGTATTTGGTGTAACAGAATATGTTGACATGCTTTAATGTTAAAAAAACGCATTATTTTTCAAATACTGTAATTATTTTAGGTCCTATATGCCCCGCCTCTCTCAAACGCTTTGTTTTCTACAAAGTCCCTCCTTCCGACAAGCGCAGTCTGCTCTGATTGGCCAGCTGACCCAGTGCATTGTGATTGGCCGAACACCACAAGCACTTGTCGGAAATGTAACGCCCCTTACCATAATCGCGAGCTTCATCTTTCAAAATAAATGTAAAGACAGAGCCCGAAAGGGGAACAAAGTCGCGTGACAGACACAGTGATGAAGCTGGTATGTGTTTGCAGTACACAAGCCACGGTTAAGACAGCTGACTCCACTATAGGAGTCAAAGGAGTAAAGGCGCTGTCTTTATAAATAAAACGCAGATTTGAGTTTTAAACAACTACATTCTTGCCTGAAATACTTTTAAAACTACATTTCATGACACAATAACAGTAATATTTTGAAAATTATCAGAATAAATGGTGGTTGAAATACAATGCTGCGTGAGCGCAACCAATCAGCATGCTCAGCGGCCAACAGGGTTTCCGCGGGGTCTTAAATTGAATTGTATCAAATTTAAGGCCTTTAAAAGTTTTAAATTGTACAAGAAAGTCTTAATTATGATTTCAAGAGGTCTTAAATTTGGGGACAGAAAGACCAGAAGTGCGATATGGCTGAATGTGACGATTAAACTTAAAAAGGCTAACGTTATGATTTTATTGAATAAACACGAGCGCTGCACGTTCAAAGTCCGGTGCTGTGCTGCTTTGTGTTCTGCCATTACCGGGTAAACAGTTATATTTCTACCAAACGCTCCACCTGCTGGCAGAATGAATGAGCATTTTCAATAAAACTGTTGTTTTGCTCAGAGTTCAGACCAATGCTAAAATCGACCCATGTTTTTACCCTGCAAACATGCAGAGCTTTAAATGTGAACTGGTGGATCGATAAGAAGACAATGCATTATAAAAATCTAAACAGGTGTGCGATATGTATGGTCTGCGACAGTATCGTAATTGTTGTTTTAACAATGTGCGATTTGATATGAGTATATCGCAAAAAGCAAACACAACACACACCTACAGAGTGCACGCATACATTAGGTGATGAAGTCTAACAGGTTAGACTAGTGCGCATTTATAGTGCGTTCTTTCACTGCACGAATCAGTCTATTAAAATGCATTAAGAATTATCACATAATTTAAGATATGGGGCAGAAAATTTATATCTTTATATCATTTCATATAGTTAATATCACATGAAGAGTGCTGGTTTTTTTCTCCAAAAGTAAGCATGATTACAAATGTGATATTTATTTTATACAACAGTTCAATAAGCAAGAAGTTAATATTAAGAGTCTTACGTTTTAGACACCATATTGCCTGTTTCTGCTCTATTTCTCCAACAAAAATCATTTCAAACACAACCACAGCGCTGTTTTGCGTCTCTGAGCAACAGGAGGATGCTGTTTTGTTCCTGAATTAATCAACCATTTAAATGATTCGATCCAAACGCAATGACTCACTTATTAACAGTGACTTGCTGCCACCATTAAAATATCAAAACATTATTTATGCATTTGTAACTGCAGGCTAAAGTATTTAATGTCCCTCAGAGCTGCATTAAACCGTGTGTAAATGCATCTAAATGCCACTTCTAATGCAGCTTCTGTGTTTCCTCTGTATTGCAAAAATCAATTTTGTTGATACTGATTTAATTTGCTTGATAACAGCCCAAATGCAAGAATTTGACTCAAAAGATGGTGCACACTTTTAGAAAAAATTGCTTAAAAATATTATAGAGATAAAAGTTTTTGTTAATATCGCACACCCCTAATTTGTTATTTAATTGATATAATAGTTTATTGATAATAATTGTTTAAATTAATATAATAATTATAACTTTTGACTCCTCCATTTTCTTAACAATGGTTTAAAGGCGTAAATGTAAAGTTTATAATTTTTAAAAACTTTGTTTTTGTGAAAACTTGTATCTGAACTGTAAATTATGCTTTTTACCGTAATTTTACAGTTTAATATGATACTACATTGCCCTACCCCGCTCATATGGTATTCATTTTATTTGTACAGGTCTTAAAAAAAGGTCTTAAAAAGTCTTAAATTTAAGCTTAAAAATCTTGCAGAAACCCTGGCCCAAGTCCCGCCCCCGAAAGTTCCGGACTTTTGAAAAAGTACTACCTCGCGAGCAAGGACTTTCTGAGGGGCAATTTTTTTTACCCTGAACTTTATTTAGATCCCGGCCCAAAGTCCCTAGTTCCTGGGTAAAGTTCCTGCGGTGGAAACGGGGCTTTAAACTCAATCCTTACCTTTTATTTTTCCAGTAAGCCAGTCTTTCAGATTACCCTTAAGAGGGCAAGTTCGGATGCAGAACCAATTAATTATCTGGTCTGAAGAAAAAAATTTTTACTAATCAAGAGTTTCACCCATTTCAATATTGGTTCATCTAACAAAACATTGATGCTATAGTGGTGTGCTAGTGTTTGTTCTTTGAAGAGATAAAGGTGGATTAATCCCCTACTTCATTTCAGGTTTGTAGACACAGGAGAGATGCCTGAGAGCTTCCCCTACAGAACCAAAGCACTTTTCGCCTTTGAGGAAATTGACGGAGTGGACGTGTGTTTCTTCGGCATGCACGTGCAAGAGTACGGCTCTGATTGTCCTTTCCCTAATACCAGGTAAACTCTTACACAAGTTAATTAGAGAAAAAACAGACATATACGGCAATGCTTGTAGTGCTTTAGCATGCAATAAAGGTAAAAGTCTCTGTCTATTTTGTACCTGTCTAGACGGGTATACATATCGTATCTCGATAGTATTCACTTCTTCAGACCTCGCATGCTGAGAACAGCAGTCTATCATGAAATCCTCATCGGCTATTTGGAATACGTCAAGAAGCTTGGGTAGGTTTCATCATATAAATCCTCCTTGAGTTCGACAAATACACAGTTGCTGTTCATGCCCTGAACTTTGAACATTTCCACTGCAGATACGTTACAGCACACATCTGGGCATGTCCACCTAGTGAAGGCGATGACTATATCTTCCACTGTCACCCTGCCGACCAGAAAATCCCAAAACCCAAGCGCCTGCAGGAGTGGTACCGCAAAATGCTGGACAAGGCCTTTGCTGAGCGGATTCTGCATGACTACAAGGTATAGCAGGAACCATGTGATCTTTAAAAACCTTAATTTCGTAAAATGGAAAGATTCACTAATTTTTTGATCGTGTATATGCCATCAAGAACACAATTATATGGTATAAATACGATGTGTTTGTATTTAATAGGACATCTTTAAGCAAGCCACTGAGGACCGTTTGACGAGTGCAAACGAGCTTTCATATTTTGAGGGTGATTTTTGGCCCAATGTGTTGGAGGAGAGCATTAAGGAGTTGGAGCAAGAGGAAGAGGAGAGGAAAAAAGAAGAAAACACGGCAGCTTGTGAAACTCCTGAGGTGAATGAGAGAAGCCGTGTGTCTTTTTTAAAATTTCTGGATACTCTTCATTAGGGTTGGGTATCGATTGGGTTTTATACGATACCGGTGCCAAATCGATACTTTTAAAACAGTACCGGTGCCTGAACCGATACTTTAAAAAAAAATTTTTTAAAAAGAGCCACAAAAAAACGATGGATAACATTAAAAATATTAAAAGTAAGCTTCCCTTACTCTAAGGCTAATAAATGTATTTCACGATCTGGGTCATTATTTAAAGGGGTCATATGATGCTGCTAAAAAGAACATTATTTTGTGTATTTGGTGTAATGAAATGTGTTTATGCGGTTTAAGGTTCAGAAAACACATTCTTTTCCACATACTGTACATTATTGTTTCTCCTCTATGCCCCGCCTTTCTGAAACGTGTTGATTTTTACAAAGCTCATCGGTCTGAAAAAGCGAGGTGTGCGGTGATTGGCCAGCTATCCAGTGCGTTGTGATTGGCCGAATACCTCAAGCGTGTGGCGGAAATGTTACGCCCCTTACCATACTGTGATGCCATGTCAGGCCGGAGCGATGATTCAAAAACATGAAAACCCATTATAAACGAGGCATTCGTTGCATCCAGTGGGGGACATAATTATGGATTATAATGACTTGTACTGTCTTTTTACGCGTTGCGTTGTATCGCGCCGCGTAAACATAAAACCATGTCTGCATTTGTGATCGGAGAAATGACAAACGTGGGGCTGAGTGAGTAGAGGCTGGGGGATAAAGTGAGGAACGGCCGGCGGGCTGAGTGAGCAGAGGCCGGGGAGATCAAGTGAGGAATGGTCGGCGGGCTGAGTGAGCAGAGGCCGGGGGATAAAGTGAGGAATGGTCGGCGGGCTGAGTGAGCATAGGCAGTGGATTCGACAAAGGAGCGTCCGGAGGGCTTGCGGCAACCACATATGACGACCCCGGGCTGGACTCCACTTCGTCCAC